CAAATATCAACTTTAGGTCTAGGGCTCACGTGATAAACAAGGAAGTTTTTTCGAGGTTGGGTGACAAATCGGAAATTTTGTGTTGAATTTGTCGAGGATTCTCAAGGCGTTTACAGGAATTACTGGACATTTACAAATGACAAACTAAACATCTCGCATCCGACCTAGAGAAGGAAGTTTGATGCACTCTTTTGATATGGATTTCACACCGGACTAACTTACATTTCTTCATAGAGTTCATATGATTGTGATATGAACATACTATATCAACTTCAAATTCAACTAAAGCAGTATTCATTGAAGGATATCTCTAGGTGAACAACACGTAGGACCTTAAAGTTATAGATAGACGTCAAGTTATTATTATATAATAGAAAGAAATTGAGATAATATCGGGTAATAAATAAAAGGTATGTCCTTCGTTTAATTCATTTAAAATTTTGAACAGTTTTGAATCATGACAGACACGCTTTTCTGTTTAACTATTATTTTCTGTTCTCTGACCATCTTTGTTCTGTTACATACGTTAACTTAAGCCCTGTTATTTTACTTACCATCGCAATCTATTACTACTCTTTTCTGTTTTCTTACGAACAGCTTAGTTATCTGACTTCCTAATCAATAACTCTGTTATCTGACTTCCTAATCAATAACTCTGTTATCTGACTTCCTAATCAATAACTCTGTTATCTGACTTCTTTATCAACAACTCTGTTATTTGACTTCTTTATCAACAACTCTGTTATCCGACTTCTTTATCAACAACTCTGTTATCCGACGTCTTTATCAACAACTCTGTTATCTGACTTCTTTACCAATAACTTTGTACTTATCTCAGTTGGCGTCCGAGGGTTTGAAATATCTGAGGTTGCCCGAATAACTTACCCAGTTTGAGAGTCATGCTCGAAAAACTTGCATTCATGGCTGCGAGGCTGACAGATTTTAACCGACTTGCATGTCCTTTTTTTTTTATAAAACAGTAAACATGAACATTCCACCGGAACCACTGACAAAGGATGTACAGAGGTTTATACGTTTCACCAATGAAGACAACGACATGGAAGTGATGGAGTTCTATGAGCGGTATGGAAGAAAACTACCACTTCTGATGATCGTGACCATTGGGAATTATGCAGATACTGATTTGGAAACATTTAGTGGGGATCAGGTAAGAAGGTCTTTGTGGATCACTCTTTCTTATGTTATATATTGACGAAGCTCTGACAATCCTATCAGCAGTTGTTCCTTTCTAGAATTATGATATGGTAAAATTTGTTCCTACCCAACCTAAAAATGCACCAGTGAATGGAAAATGAAACTTCGAGATTTCTGTCCCCTAAATGTTTGGAAGAATGACATCAAATATTTCACAATTCAGTCCTGTTAATTATTTTGTATTTTCAGACGTTCAGACTTGCTCATATTTCCCGCCAAAAACGGGTCATAGCCCGGGATATTAAAGGTCGATACCTGACAATTCCAGCCAACTTTCCCATGAAATTTCGTACCGTTAGAGGTCGTAAAAATGGTAAGTAGTCGGCAATTTCCGTACAGTCAAACCAGCATACTCGTATCAATCAACCAATACCACTTTCCTGACAGAATTTATCTCAAAACACATTCCATAATATTGACGGACTCCAGGAGGTAAAGTTCCACATCAGAGAAGTAAAACTTCATTATATTTTTTAGTTGGTGATGTACAAACGCTGGCACGTATCCTGGAAGACAACGAACTACCATGCATAGTTCAGTTTGCTGCCAGTGCAAAGGCCGAGTTCAAAATTGGTGCCAACAATACTAAGTGTTTTAATTTTGGAAACATTGTTTTAACCGAGATCTATGATGAGAAATATTTCTTGGCCAACTGCGTCGATAGTGCAGGTAAATATACCCGACTTTTAGTGTTACTAAACCAAAGAAGGAAAGTACCAGAAATGGTGAAAGCAAAAATATATAAGTACAAGAAAAATATTGAGCATTTGGAAATATAAAAGTACAAGAACAATATTGGGCATTTGGAAATATAAAAGCACAAGAAAAATAGTGGGCATTTGGAAATATATAAGTACAAGAAAATATTGTGTATTTGGAAATAGATAAGTTAAAAAAAATGTTTGGAAAGAAAGATATCAGCAAAAAAAATAAAAAAAGTTTTGTCCTATATGAGCTTATCTCCTGCTGTCGACACGTGTATCTAAAGCTTCATGGAGAGATTAATATTGGAAAATTAACAACTAAGGCTTATATTAATAAACTAACATTGGCATCATTGTCTTCTATCAGGAATGATGTTGGAAAGAGTTGTCTTGGTTCCACTGTATGTCAAAGAAATCAGCGTTGCAGCAGTAAATGGAATTATGAACGGGGACGAACAGGATTTCAAGAACTTTCAGATTGGCCTTAATAAAGCAGCTGAAAAATTCCATTTCGACTTAGAATCGGGAAATAATGGTAGGAAAGAGACACTATTCCACTTTTTTATTTTTTCATTTAATTGCAATTTAAGTTACTTTTCTTAAAATTAAATCTATTCTTTTTTTTTTAATCCATTTTAATTCAATTTGATATTTTCTTTTGTATCATTAATTTAATCGTATTAAATTTAATTTACGTCTATTTTATTTTATTTGAATATAAATATTTTTTAAATATATTAATTAATTTGATTTAATTATTTATTTATTTTATATCATTTCTTTTAATTTAATCCAATATTATTATTTTCTTTTCATTTAATCTTATTTAATTATTCACTTTTTATTTGATTTTTTTCAAATTAAAATTTTTATTCTTATTTATTTATTTATTTATTTATTTATTTATTTATTTATTTATTTATTTATTTATTTATTTATTTATTTATTTAATCATTTACTTTTTATTTTTTTAAAATTTTTATTTAATTTTATTTGATATTTGATTTATTCAATTGATCAATTAATTCTTTTAAATTATTTATTTTTTTATTCAATTAAAATAAATACCTTTTTTTTTTATAATTTCCAGATATAGCTATGCTTCCAGAAGACTGTGAGATGATCACATCAAATAACATCTACGACTATATCGACCCCAAAAGCTTCGTGGATATCAAGAGACGACAGTCATCGACCTCAAGTGCCTCTGATAATGTTGATGTATCTCAACCCGACGAAAAGCCCGCGTTACCACCGAGACAAACTGTAAGGAAGACAAGTTCAACCCCCCTCAGCCCAAAGTCGCCAGTATCTGGTGGAAAATCTAAAACTAAGTGCGATTCAGAACCAGATGAAGCTTTCTTTTCGGGTGGGAGCATTTTTCAAAATCCAGATATGCATCACCGACCTAGACAAGGTCAATTTAGTGGGGATGAGATGTCCATATCCGGCGGAAGCATTGGTAGTTTCTGTCCTACTGACTTTGTTCTGGAGTTCTGCATCAGCGACATCAGTGAGGCACTTACAAAATTACACTTGGACAAGTACGTAAAGCCGCTGAAGGAAGCACAAATAGATGGGCCACTTTTATTGACTTTAGACGAGCCTACTTTAGTGGAAGATTTCAAAATGAAGACCTATGAAGCTAAAAAGTTGCTGTTGTTCGCCAAGACAGGTCACATTCCCAAGTAACTCTTTGGTTGCTTGGTCTTTTCATTTGCATTGTGATGCATCTAAAGCATGTGATTGAATTTTTTGGCGATCTTTAATAAGTCATCTTTCTAATAGCTTCAGGTCGACTCACCTGTAAACGGATAGAGATAATCCAGAAGAGATCACTACAAAAACGTTTGGAAAAGGAACGATAGTTTTAAGGTGGACAGAGGAAACTTGCAAAATACTGATGTTTCTTTCTATTTCAATCTCTTGTCAATTTCTTGACGGACGAAAGTCCTTCTTCTGTGTTGATACAAATTGCCAAAATCATTTTCATAATGTACATATTATTCGCTGTGTATTATAGATAAAAGCTTGTTTGCTTGAATACATGATTTCACCAAATACGAATTCGTTAATCCGTATCTAATATATTTTATGTAGACAGTGTGTCTGAAGATCGCATAGCGTGAAACTCTGGAGTAACAACAGTATCTGTTTTTATTTTTACTGAAGATTGCATAGCGTGAAACTCTTGAGAAACACGATGATTCGAGTTCTGTTTAAATATTTCCAATAAAAGTTGCGTATTGATTGTAAACAATGCTTCCCTATTGATTATTTGATTGCAATTGTAAAAGGCCCATTTAACTATGAGTCAGTCTGTGAGCTGAGTTGATCACATCTAATCTAGTTAAGTTGGGCTATTATCAGAGCAACCAAATTGTCAATAAAGCCACATAATTAACTATGTTCGGTGCTATAGTTTTCGTAACCTATTTCTACTTGGGAGTTTTAATGTTCTACTTTTCTGCACAAGGGGGTTTTTAATTTTTTTATTAGCATTTGAAAATAGCTTTATTATTCATACATATTATTTCAAACATGACCTCGCCTCTGATTTTATTTCTCCCTGGTCCAAAAGGCACTAACAATAGTGTTTTCGTCTGCATAGTGTATAGAGATCATATATATATTTATCTATCAAAACCAATACACCAGGTCATTGTGACCTATCATAGAATGTTATTATCCTCGTAAGCGGGTCTGTGTCAAGGCTTTGATCGTGAAGACCCCAGAGCAGTGTGACGTTTCTGTTAACCATTAACTGGAAGGGTCGAGAGGTGGCTACACAATTGTTAAAGGGGGAAGGGTAAAGAATTTTTTTTTATATAAAACAATAAACGCAAGTCTATATTGCCAAGAACAAATGTCATATATTGCCAAGAACAAATGTCATATAATGTCAAGAACAAATGTCATATATTGCCAAGAACAAATGTCATATATTGTCAAGAACAAATGTCATATATTGTCAAGAACAAATGTCATATATTGCCAAGAACAAATGTCATATATTGTCAAGAACAAATGTCATATATTGCCAAGAACAAATGCCATATATTGCCAAGAACAAAAGTCATATATTGTCAAGAAAAAATGTTATATATTGTCAAAAACAAATGTCATATATTGCCAAGGACAAATGTCATACATTGCCAAGAACAAAATGTCATATATTGCCAAGAACAAATGTCATATGTTGTCAAAAACAAATGTCATATATTGCCAAGAACAAATGTCATATATGGCTAAGAACAAATGTCATATATGCCAAGAACAAATG